GTTATTCTAACATGGTATCAGATGATTTTTTCTGACCTCTTCCTCTTCCTTCATGGCTCGCGGTGGCAAGAATACCAACCCCGCTCTCTCCGGTTCATCTACCTCCAACACTGGTTCATTCTCTTCTCCGATGGAGGACTCTGGTAGCCCTTTTTATCTCCAGAATGGTGATCATCCTGGTCTCATTCTTGTTACACATTCCCTCACTGGTCCCAACTTCAACTCTTGGAGTAGGGCCATGCTCATCGCTCTCACCGCCAAAAACAAGGCGTGTTTCATCGATGGTAGTATCGTTCGCCCTGAACCTTCTGATCTCTTGTTTGCTGCATGGAACCGCTGTAATTCCATGGTTATCTCTTGGCTTCTCAACTCCGTCTCCAAGGAAATTGCCGATAGTCTCATGTATTTCCCCACCGCTTACGATCTTTGGGAAGATCTGCGTGTTCGATTTCATCAGGCCAACGGTCCAAGAATCTTTCAACTCAAACAGCAACTTTCTTCATTACATCAAGGGGCTTTCGATGTGAATACGTATTATACGAAGATGAAAATTCTTTGGGATGAACTTCAAGATTACATTCCCACCTTCTCTTGCACTTGTGGTGGTCTCCGGTCTTTATCTGCCTCTCAACAACAAGACCATGCTATGCAATTTTTGATGGGATTGAATGTCTCATTTTTCTCAATCCGTGCCCAGATTTTGCTCATGGAGCCTTTGCCTCCTCTGTCTCGCGTCTTCTCGTTGGTTTTACAGGAGGAACGTCAACGGCAAATTGCTACTTCATTCCATCCTTCGCCTGACACTCCTCTGGCTAATGCAGTTCCTGGTGCTTCCGCCGTTCCGATTTTGGCTTCTCCTCCCATGGCTGCCGTCGTCAACAATCAGCGCCGGTCACGCCTTTACTGCTCCCATTGTCAGCAAATGGTCCATACCCGTGATAGATGCTTCAAGCTCCACGGTTTTCCTCCTGGCTACAAGCCACGCAGCCCACACCCCAACCAACCATCCAGGCCCTCATCTGGCCCACCTTTCCCTCAGGCCCAAGTTCACATGGCCACCTCTCAGCCCACTTCCCCTACTCAGCCTGATCCTCTTTCCCCTACACAATACGCTCAGCTCATTTCCCTTCTCAACAATTGCCCTACCCCCACCGACAACACCTCTTCCACCGCTTTGCCCGCTGCCGCCTCACCTGCTGTTAGCCCCATGATCGCAAGCTTCAGTGGTAAGAATCCATCTTCCTTTCCTTCATCTTATTGGGTACTTGACACTGGTGCTACTCACCATGTCACTTACCTTCCGTCTCTCCTTTCCAACTCTTCCCTCTCTTCTTCTTCTGCATTTGTCTCCCTTCCTAATGGTTCTCACATTCCAATTTCTTCTGTTGGCACTGTTTCTTTTTCACCATCATTCATTTTGCATCACGTTTTGTTGGTTCCCTCTTTTCACATGAATCTCATATCTGTCAGTGCTCTTACACGTGACTCTAATATAATTGCTTTTTTTTTCTGGTTCCTTTTGCCTACTCCAGGATGCTACAACTCGCCAAACGATTGGGATTGCTAGGCGCACGGGTGACCTTTATCTTTTTGATCCATCTAATTTTTTTCCCATTTTTAATGTTCCCCATCCCCTTTGTTCTTCTGCCACTCTTCCTTCTTTTGTACTTTGGCACTCTCGTTTGGGCCACCCCTTCCCTTTTAGTTTCAATGAAAAGAATTTTAAATTTTACTGATTCTGTTTCTGCATTACCTTGTTCTGTTTGTACTATTGCTAAACAAAAAAAATTACCGTTTATTTTGGACCCTAAAATGTCTTCTACTGCTTTTACTTTAGTTCATTGTGATATCTGGGGGCCTTTCAACCCCATTTCTGTTTCTGGTGTTAAATTTTTTTAACTCTTGTTGATGATGCCACACGATTCACCTGGGTATATTTTTTACAAAATAAGTCTGAGTTTTCTACTGTTTTTCCCTCTTTTTATAATTTGATACTTAATCAGTATTCATCTTCTATCAAATCCATTAGATGTGATAATGCTCCTGAATTCCACCTTTCTGATTTTTTTTCTTCTAAAGGAATTCAACTGTTTCATTCTTGTGTTGAACGTCCTCAACAAAATTTTGTTATTGAACGTAAGCACCAACATATTCTCAATGTTGCCCGTGCCCTACATTTTCAATCCCACATCCCATTAGCATACTGGTCTGACTGTGTTCTCACTGCGGTTTATTTAATTAATCGCATTCCTTCTCCACTTCTTCATCATAAAACTCCCTTTGAGCTTCTATGTCATAAAATTCCCTCTTACTCCCATCTTCGTGTCTTTGGTTGTTTGTGTTTCTATTCAACTTTGTCTCGTACAAGGCACAAATTTTCACCCCATTCTTCTCCTGCTGTTTTTCTGGGATATCCTCCTGGATATAAAGCATACAAACTCCTTGATCTACACACTAATCGTGTTATTATTTCTAGAGATGTCATATTTCATGAGTCAATTTTTCCTTTTGTCTCATCCACTTCATTTTCTTCTCCATTAAATTCACTGCCTTCTTTATCCCCTCCTACCCTTGCTGCTGAAGCTCCTGATCATAATCCCACAAGACCCTCTCGTACAAAGAAAACCCCTCCCCATCTCTCTGATTATATTTGCTCAACCTCCACTGCTCATCCTATCTCAGCCAATTTATCTTACAGCACCCTTTCTCCTTCTTACCGTGCCTTTATTAATACCCTCTCATCTCATTTTGAACCTTCCTCTTATGCTGAAGCATCTCAATTACCTGAATGGTCCGCTGCAATGGTTGCTGAAATTTCTGCCCTTGAAAGAAATAACACATGGTCTATTGTTTCCCTTCCTGAAGGCAAACAGCCAGTTGGATGTAAGTGGGTTTATCGTGTTAAGTACAATGCGGATGGCTCCCTTGAGCGTTATAAAGCCCGTTTGGTTGCCAAAGGGTTCACCCAACAAGAAGGTTTGGATTTTATGGAGACCTTTTCTCCAGTTGCCAAAATCACCACTATTCGCCTTCTCCTTGCCCTTGCAGCCATTCACAATTGGCATCTAATTCAATTAGATGTCAATAATGGATTTTTACATGGAGACCTTTGTGAGGAGGTTTATATGTCTTTGCCTCCTGGTTAGGTCAAACAGGGGGAGTCTTTACCACATAATGTTGTCTGTAAACTTCACAAGTCTTTATATGGCTTAAAACAAGCTTCTCGTCAATGGTTTGCGAAGCTCTCCTCAACTCTTCTCTCATTTGGTTTTTCTCATTCTCAAACTGATAACTCTTTATTCATCAAGCATTCAGGAAGTTCTTTTCTTGCTGTTTTGGTATATGTTGATGACATCCTAGTGGCTTCCAACAATATTGATCAGATTCATCACCTCATATCCTCTCTGGACAACAATTTTAAATTGAAAAATTTGGGAGCTTTGAAATATTTTTTGGGCATTGAAGTGGCTCGCTCTACTGCTGGTATCTCCATCTGTCAAAGGCAGTACACTTTACAAATTCTCTCTGATGCTGGTTACCTTGGCTGCAAGCCTAAATCAACACCTATGGAGCCCAACCTCAAGCTTTCTTCAACTACAGGTGATGCTCTCTCAGACCCAACCCAATACAGAAGACTCATTGGGCGTTTAATCTATTTAACCATCACAAGGCCTGATATTTGTTATGCTGTAAATCACCTTAGTCAATTCATGTCTGCTCCTAGAGTACCTCATCTCAATGCTGTTTACAGAGTGTTAGCTTATCTCAAAGGTACTGCTGGTCAAGGTTTGCTATTTTCCTCTTCTTCCAAAGTTCAATTGAATGCTTTCTCTGATTCAGATTGGGCTTCATGCCCTGACACACGCAAGAGTGTCTCTGGTTTCTGTGTTTTCTTGGGCCACTCCCTCATCAGTTGGAAGTCCAAGAAACAAGCAACAGTATCCAAATCTTCTGCTGAATCTGAGTATCGATCCATGGCTACAGTGACTTGTGAACTTATTTGGTTGTTTTCTTTACTAAAGGATTTTAATATCATTCATTCTGCTGCTGCCCATTTGTTTTGTGACAATTCTGCTGCTTTACACATCGCTGCAAATCCTGTTTTTCATGAGAGAACAAAGCACATCGAAATTGATTGCCACTTGGTTAGGCAACAAATTGTTCAAGGCAATCTTCAAACTTTTCCCATTGCTTCTGCAAACCAATTGGCTGACATACTCACAAAGGTTGTTCATCCTGCTCAGTTTTCTTCCCTGCTTTCCAAGATGGGAGTGCTCAATATTCACTCTCCATCTTGAGGGAGAGTATTAGAATATACATTTTTATTTTATAAGTTAGTTATTGTACAGCTGTATAGATGTATAGCATTTTCTGTTATGAGCCCATGTGCTCACTTTTTACTCCATTCTATTATTTTTCCATTTTGTAATTTTTCCCTTTGGCTGTTGCTGATATAAGGCCACTATTCATTGTACGTATGACTCATTCAGAATGAAATTGAAAATTCCAAATCCTCTGAGTTTGTTATTCTAACAAAAAGCAAATGATGGGATTTTTTTTTCAATTTTCCTTTTACTTTTTCTCTTACCAAAATGGGCAAATGATTTTCCCTACCCTATTTTAAAAGGGGACAAACAGATCAAAGCTATTCTTTCGTCACTGAAAGATCATGAATTGGAATCCAAAAAACATATTTGAAATTATGAAAAAGTAAGACTACATACTGAGTACAAAAATTGCCTCCACTCCAACCCACACTTGTTAGACGAATTTAATGGAAAGTGATTTTTTTTTTTTTCTGGGAATTTTTTTTTTTTCCATCTCCTACAGACTACCAAACACCTCTTACGAGCAAGTCATTTTAACACTTGGAAGCGGTATGCGCATATTATAGAATTTTAAAGCTAGCACAAAAGTAAATTCGATTTAGAAGGTAAAAGGCTTAAAGCTAAATACAACAGGTTAGCAAGATCAGATCCTATACTGAAAATAAGGTCCAGAATCCCTTCTAACAGAAGAAACATACACGTCAATATCTATAACCCACAGGCAAACCAAGTTTGTCCAAACGACCAGAACCAGGATAGGCTTTGCTAGTGAAATTTGCGTGCAATGTAGATACCCTTTGTGTAGCCAATCTTGACTCACCAAATCCATGAAGCGAGTACCTGTTAGATGAACTAGACCTCTCATACTGAGGCCTTTGTTTTGGTGCACTGAGAGATCTTACTTTTGCTTTTGAAGACTCAGTGTAAGCCATGTAACTTGGATAGTCAGAGTAACCACTTAGATAGCTTCTTGAGCCATCGCTCCTTGTAGAAGTAAATGGACTTCTTTTGGAGCCACCATCTTTAGAAGACGCAGATGGAATTTGAGGACTATTATCAGCACCGTAGAATGAGCTCACCTCATCCTCGTTGATTTTTAGAGGGCTGCAAGACCGAACTTCACAAGGAGATAGACTTTGACCCGATTGATTAGATGTTGAGTCCTTTGTTGTGGTCCAACTCTGACTCTGATGATCCGAAACCAAAGCTTGGCTATAGGAGTAAAAGAGGTTTCTACGTTTTGATGTGATGTGTGGTTTTCCAGAATCCATTTCAAGAACCCTGAAACTTCTATCATCATCCATGCTACAAGTTCTTATCCATGATCTTCGTTGATTTAATGGTTGTTCATCTACCCGACTATCTGATCTATTCACACATTTCTCGTGATTACCATTGATCTGGACACGGGATTTGGAGCCATTTCTCTACAATGATATGAATGCTTGAAATAATTAGTCAAGTAGACACACTAAATTTGACCTTGCATAGAGTTTCCACAGAAAATACCTTGAGTACTGATGATGACTGATCATATTTCATGCTCTCGGATCTGATTGGGCTTTCAAATTTGTCTGGTGTTGCTGGACCCTGTAAATGGAAGACATTTGGGATTTAAATTAACCAACGATCACATTTAGTGTATGTAACTAACCAAATCAAATTATGTATTAGAACATTAGCATTTTGATTGACAAAGTCATATGTATTCATTCACTTAAGGCAACCAAATTAGAATGAGACAAAAGTTGACAATCTTCTTCCAACAACAACTGTCAATTTCAAATAAAAAATGAGAGGAAAAAACTAATGGAAGGCTCAATTGTTAATGCTTACATGGAGGTGAACAGTGGATGATTTTGCATTCCAATACGGGGTCTGCAGAATTTGGGCCCGACCAGCACGGACTCGGGCCTGTGCACGTAAAAGTGCTTGCATTCTTTGCAGCCACTCTGCTGTGCGCTTCCTCTCAATGTGACCTCTCACCAATGCCTGAAGCTTCACCAATCCTTTTAACGCTCGCAGCGCTCTCCTTGCCTAACAATTTCAACATCAGAGAACAAACGAGCAGAATTAATATCTAGATTTCAAGAAGGTTGAATTCATAGTTACAATTATAGGACACCCTAAAGGGTCTTAGATACGAGCCGGTGATCTATATTCAATAAATCATTTGTAAATATTATTACAAGCTTATAAGGCTTAATGGTTCATTGATAAATCATTTGTAAATACTATGGCATGCCTGACAACAAGAAGACGTGGACATAACACCAGCCATGCAATAATTGAACGAGACTACATATATAATCAACATTATAGAAGTATATATCTGCATATGAAAAATTAGTAGTATTAAATTAATAATAGTACACTATTATTGTCGTCAACTAACCCAAATTTTAATGAGTTGAAAAAGTCATACAAGTACACTTAAAAGAAACATATCTAACAGACAAGGCGGTGGAGCTCATTTAGATTCGAATCTGTCCCCACAAACCCCAAAAGAACAAGAGACAAGCAAAGGTCATTCCTTTACCAGAGAAAAAGCAGATGAATTTGCAAATCAGCTTCGCCAACCACCGATTTGGCCAGGATATAGAAAATCTAACCTAAGGTAAGTGTAATCAAGTACACATGCACTAGAACACCCGGTTAAACCCTTCTAGAATTAGAATGTACAATCAAGTTACAATCTTCCTTTAATCTGCAAGAATCCATCCTCAGATCAAAGTACCAGCGATACCAGTTAATTCATAAAAAAATTCTCCCACAATAAAAACAAATAAATCAAAGCACATAATGAATTAACAAAATAATTGTATTATAATTAAGGAAAAATATTTTATCACGTTGCATGAGAATTCAATTCTCTTGTGACAAAGCTTTTCTTTTCTTTTTTTAATAAATGTGGGATCCAACACAGTTGAGTATTGAATTCTCATACAACATGAGAAAATCAAACCCTTATCATTTGATAAAATATTATTACTACCAATTTTTTATAGTACCACTCTAATTATCGTTGAATTCAGAAGTTTTTTTTTTTTTTTCTCTCTATATTTAACTTTACCTCTAATACGGTGATGATTAGAGTGACAGTGAAAAAATTGATTGTAAAAATATCGTACCTTTGATTATAATATATTTAGAAGTGAAGAGGTGACCAGCAAATTTATTATATTTAAGAATATGAAAGTAAAAAGTACTGCAACTGCGGAAGACTGAAGAAATAAAACCAAGTCAGGCACACTTAATTGTGAAAAGGCCAACACGAATAGAAGGAAGCAATGAGGAAGGGCAAAGCGCATCTCGGTACACGTTAGCGTCTGTCACCCAGAGAATACAGTTGTAATTAAATGTTGATTCAGTTGAAGTAAAGGAAATGGTAAATGCCATATTTTGTAGCGAAAATTTATTAGGCGACGAGTTCTGAACAAAATGACATGCGAGAACAGCTCAACACTAGTAGAAAAAAGAAAAAAGAAAAAAGAAAAAGGAATAGGCCAAATCTGCAAACAAATTAAGGCACTTCCTATTTTCGCTTTTGAACAAGTTAACAACTTAAACAAACATCGACCATGTCTTCGAGGATCTTTCATTTTATTTTTTTTCCTTACTAAACTCAAACCTCGTTTCCCCACACACACACACACACACACACAAAACTAAAATAACGTTGTTTGTAAATTAAAATCGATATTTCTTGTTGATGATTAAAATTAAGAGGAAAGAAGAGAATAAAAGAATAACGGATACGAACCAAACAGCCTCGAAACGCGGCTTGAATTTTAGTGGCTGCCCACTCCTCGCGAATAATGCCTCCAGCGGTGGTCCTGCCACTGCTAGCGAGTCTGGCAACGGCGGCGGCCGCATGAGCAGCAGCGACGGCCGCCTCTGCCACGGCAGCGGTGGCGGCTGCCATAGCCATGGTGTGGTTGTCAGGAACGGCGCCTTCCACGTGTCCCGAGGAGTGAACCGGTAAGTCCTCGTAGGTGGATGTTGCGTGGTGGTCCACGGTGGCATGATGATTACGGTTGTTGTCCTTTTCTCTGTAAGACTTGACGAAGCTCCATCGGCGTTTCTCTTTGGGTGGCTTTGCGGGGGAAGACGACGCGTCTGGTTTTCTAAGACCGAGAAGTCCGCGAAACCATTTTGATGCTTTACCCATTAACTTCTTCTTCTAAAAATTAAAAAGCTAATGGTTTTGGATTTTAAAGATGCATTGTAGATTGTAAGTTGGAACTTATAAAATGGAAGGAGAAGCGAAGGGGTTAGAGAGAGAGAGAGGGTGGCTTTTAGTGTAAGCAAACTGTGCAGAAATTACACGGAGCATGAACTCGTCGTATTGTATACCGTGGAAATCAACTTGCAGAATACGTGTGCATTAAATTACTATTTCTTTCTCTCTCTTCTTACGATGGTTTATTTTATTTATTTATTTTAATAAGAAAAATTATATTTACACAAACCTCCTATAATCATATTAATTAATTAATTATTAATTGATAATAAAAAATAATTGTTGCAAAAATTAACGGTTAAGATACGATTGTAAGAGGTTGTAAATGAAAATAAGTTATAAGTATAATTTTTTTCATTTTTAATTTGTGTAGTTTTATATTAAAACTTTGGGAAAACATTTCTCATTTCAAATAATATAACTTTATATCAATTTTATGAAACTACATCATTTTGATGTATTTTGTCAAAATTTTTTTATATAAAATTAGAAAAAAAAGAAAATAGAGAATTTTTTTTGACAAAACACACCAAAATAATATGATTTTATTAAAAATGACACAAAGTTATGTAAATATACAACGCAATATGTATAGATTTTATTTAAATTAGTTATTCATATATTATTTTAAATTTTTTATTTCTGTTTTCATTTTTTCATATCAATTATTTCTTAATAATATTTGAATAAAAATAAAATGAACGCCATATTTTTTGGGGAAATAAAAGAAAAGATAAATGTTATATAAGTAATAATAAAAATGATTCATTTTTTCTGCATTCAATATGGATAGGTTATCTACATTGAATTCAAAAATAAAGTACTTTTATAATTATAATTTGTTTCAAAGTTATAATAGTCTTTCTCTTTATAATTTTTTTAATTTTTTAACTCAGAACAATATCGTTTTAAAAATGAATATAGATAATTTATTTATATTTATTGTAGAAACATTAAAACTTATAAAAATAAAAGAAATAATATATAATTAAAAAAGGACGTAACATTAGGCATAAAGATCTACTTATCACATTATTTTGAAATTTTATATCCATTTATCACCACGTGAGAAGGCTTTCTCTAAATGAGATGACCAGTCTTCATGAGAGTGAGCTATATATTTATATATGGATAACATTATAATAAAATCGTGATTGTTTATCCCAAATTGCATAATTTTTCTTATATCTATTTTCTACAAATTTATTGTTAGTACCTATAAATTTAAAAATTTTAAATTTATTATTAATAATAATATAATGGGATTTAGTTTCCTTACGCGATAGTTGGTAAGTTAGTTTTCCTGCACACAAATATTAGTGGGCCCATTGTTTTTTTTTAAAAAAAAAAAAAACTTAACTTTTAACCTCTCGGACAGAAAATACTATTCATTCTTCTGCTAGTATTTCCGTAATATAATTATTGAGTTGTTTATCTTTCTCTATTTATCAAAATGATGTAAAAAAAAAAAAGTACCATGCGAATGCGTCCATTCCCATTATCAAATTGTGGAGCCACCTCAATCTCTTTAAAGAAAGGATAAATTCAGCCATAAAAAGAATGAGGTATGATATTCATATTATCAAATTTTTCTACTATCACTTTAATCATCATTGGATTCAAAAGTTATTTTTTTTCTTTCTTTATTTAACTTTTCCTCTAATCTAATAGTGATTAGAATAGTAGTGAAATGGTAATAAATTTTTTTGGTAATATGAATATCTTATTTATAAAAGAATAGTCTATAACTTTGATTTTAAAATAACTTTTCAACTCATCCATTCACGATATCGGGATTATGAACTTTTTAAACTTAAAAAAGAGTTAGTAACTTCTATAAATTACAATATTTTCATTAATTTATTATATTTTTTATACTCTCAATTCCCAAAGAAAATACAACCAAATAATGGTGAAAAGGAAGCTCTGTTGGGAATGGTATGGGGGAGCCCAAAACCCATTGCAAGGGATACAACCATGGGTCAAGCGATAAACCACAATAAGTGGGTCGACACCACATATTAACCCAAAACCTTAAGACAATTGGTTCATGGGTCCTTTCACTTATATGCTCTTCACTTAGCTCATTACCAACCAATGTGGGACTCATCACACTTGAATATCTCAACAATCTCCCCTTCAAGTGTGAAACCCACCATTGGTATGCTCCTCCTCAACCGAGTACCTAAAGCGCAAAGTACTCAACCCGCCTCCTAGCCAATCACTAGGCTAGCTCGAGCCCAATCCGGCTCTGAAACCACTGTTGGGAATGGTACGGGGGAGCCCAAAACCCATTGCAAGAGATACAACCATGGGTCAAGCGATAAACCACAATAAGTGGGTCGACACCACATATTAACCCAAAACCTTAAGGCAATGGATTCATGGGTCCTTTCACTTATATGCTCTTCACTTAACTCATTACCAACTAATATGGAACTCATCACACTTGAATATCTCAACAAGCTCATTATCCGAGTAGGCATGTACCAAACCAAACAGTGGATCCATTCTCAGATCAGATTAGAGGGCCCACTTGGTGTCCCCACCCCACTTCTGTTCTACAAATCCCAACATCTCTTGCGCCGTGCATCCATCTTAAAATTGTGGTTTTTGTTTTTTCGTCTTTTATTATTGAGTTTTATTAGTCTCGTTTAACATAAGATAGTTATTTGGGGAGGAATATTTTGACTTTAGAGTAAGACTTACAACTCTTACTCTCCATCTCAACCGTTGATTTTCGTCCATCTAACGGTTTAATTGTTACAAATAACCGTTAAATAGACGGAAATCAACGATTGAGATGAGGAGTAAGAGTTATGAGTCTTACTCTAGAGTCAAAAGATCTTTCCCCATTTAGGTCCTATAATTATGTTATAGAGAGAAAATAAGTGGATCCTATAATTACAAAAAAAAAAAGAAAAAAAAATAAAGTACGAAAATCGAAGTGAAAGAAAATGAGAGATGATATCTTATGTAAAAGCAGAATAATATTTTCCTTTATTATTTTCACTTTGTTATTCTCAGATTACATATGTAAAAAATCATCTCCTACACACATAAATTTAAAATGAGTTTCATTTTATTTTATTTTTCTTTAGTAGTGGATTTCACTTGCAAAAATAAATCTATTACAGATAATAATTTTCTCCTATTCCATATGAAAATTATTATCCTCTATTTTTATTTGCTTCCCTCATAAATTTTTAGTGTCATCACTCAGTTTTTTTACGTCAACATTCAACCTTTTTATTATTTCTCAATATACTCCACCTTTTTTGTTGTTTTTAAACTGCTATATTTTCTTTTTACACTAAGAAGTTGGTTTCTGTCAAGCTGATTTTTCAATAACTTTTTCATAAATATATATATATATATATATATATATATAGGATTTAATTTTTCTTCGGTTGTAATGGAAAAGTTTGTCTGTCATTTTCCCCAAAAAAAAGAAATGGGTCTTTTGTAAAATAGTTTATTCCAAAAAAATTGCCTATGTACTTTCTAGAATACAAAATACGTGACAAATAAAAACTTCTATAACAATTACAAAAATATTTTTTTCATATATATACATTTTTCTGTTTTCTTTTTAATGTAATTTAACCTAAATCATGTTTGGGGGAAATGTATTAAATAAAAAGGAAGAAGACATTGAAAAGTAAGTTTGACAAGAATTAACTTCTCAATATAAGAATAAAATAGAGCATTTTGTGCAATAATTGAAAAAGAGAAGTATTTTAAAAAGAAAAAAAGCCACCGCACACGTGTTTTTTTTTAATCAATGAAAATATATATTACGGAATTAACTTTAATATTATTTAGTATGAAATCCTTATACAAATATTGTTATCAATATTTAATGGTCAATTATAATGTAAGAAAAAATAAGATTAAAATTTCAATACTGACAAAACACAATGATTTTTATTTTTTAGTCATTTCACAAATATAGATTAGTATCGTTTAATAAATTTTTAATTTAAAGAAATAAAAAGTTAAATTATTAAGAATATTGATCATTCTAATTTCAGTAAAAAAAAATCATTTGATTTTATTTAATATTCAAAATTATCCCCAATGAAATCTCAATAACCAGTGTTGATATTTTAGAAAAAATATTTCTAGTACTACCCTACCAAAGTAAGGAAAACATGTTACTTCGCCTGCTACAATAAAAAACAGTAATTTATTATTGATAATGATGAGTTTTTTTTAGTAAAAGAGCATGTGTTAGACACCCAGTAATTACAATCCAACCAGAGATAAATAGCATTCATCAACTATAAATATCATATTATTGAAAACTTATGATAACTATGGTTGACCACTCGAATATAAATAATAACCATTTACGAAGTATCACCCACTGACAGCTACTGCCAATCAAATATGAGTGGTAATTATTGACAATAAATACCATATTATTAATTAGTTAATTACTAATGTTGACAGCTCAAAGATAAATGATAACTATGCAATTGGAAATGGATAATAATTAAAAAAAAATATTTCTACGGTCACTTTAGATAAAGTTATTTACAGTTACCTCATAAATATGTCTTTTTGATTAATAAAGGGTGTTTTTGTAATTTTAATATGATAAAAAAATAAATAAAATTATGGAAACACACTTCATTAATTCACCTAAAATTACAGAAACACCTTTCATTAATTAAAATGACGTAGTTTTTGGAATAGCTGTAGATAACCTTATCTAGAGTGACTGTAAAAATATTTATCCGTGATAATTATTGCCAACAAATTCTATATTATTTTAATGAGAAAGTTATACTTACTCTTTTTTTTTTTACAATCTCTTACAACCATATCTTATCACTGTTGATTTCTGTCAATCAACGCTTATCATTTATTGTGAATTAATAATTAATTAATAAATTTAATTTGTTAAAATGATAACCATTGAT